ATGGGTTTGGCGGACGCATGTGGACCGTGCTACTGGGGCCTTCGGTGGAGCTCCCTATGAGGCCACGAAGCGTGTGAGGGGTGTGCCGACATGGGTGTGCAGGACGCATGTGGACGGTGCCGCTGGGGGTTTTGGGTGGGGCTACTTATGGGGCCACGAAGCGTGTGATGGGTGTGCCGAAATGGGTGTGCAGGACGCGTATGGACGAAGCCGCTTGGGCCTTCGGTGGAGCTCCTTATGGGGCCACGGAACGAGTGAGGGGCGTGCCGAAATTGGTGTGGCGGACGCATGTGGACGGTGCCATTGGGGCCTTCGGTGGAGCTCCCTGCGGGGCCACGAAACGTGTGAGAGGCGTGCCGGAATGAGTGTGGCGGACGCACGTGGACGGTGGCTCTGGGGCCTTGGGTGGAGCTCTATGAGGCCACGAAGCGTGTGAGTGGTGCGCCGATATTGGTGGTGGATGCATGTGGACGGTGGCCTTGGAGCCTTCGGTAGAGCTCCATATGTGACCACGAAACGTGTGAGGGGTGTGTGCCGAACTGGGTGTGGCGGACGCATGTGGACGGTGGCACTGGGGCCTTCGGTGGAGCTCCCTATGGGGCCACGAAACGTGTGAGGAGGAGGCAGAGGAGGAGGAGTTGGGGGAGGAGGAAGGAAGGAAGGAAGGAAGCAACGCGGGACCGTCTCTTCCAAACGAAAACCTAACACCAGAGGATGGTTGGGAACACAATCAGAACGGAAGGGTTTTTGCCGTTTTCGGCCTCGGGGGGCCCTCGCCGGGCCTCGGGACCGTCAAAGAAATACTCAGGATGAAAAACCGGTCCTGGGGAAAGGGTCGGGAATTCCAGGGACCCTGTATCATTGAAAAGTCAGGGCGTCGTATGTTTGGGGGGTGGGAGAGTGTGCTTCTTGGCTTGATGGCGTCTGCGGTTCTTGCTGTGGTCGCCCTCCTTCCTTGTCCTTTCCCTCTCCCTCCTCCCTTCTCCCGGGTCCTTTTCCTCCTACTGTTTTTGTGGGCTTCCCCCCTTCGCCTCCTCCCTCGCCCTTCCCCTCTTACTCCTCCTCCTCCTCCCTTCTCCGAACTCCTCGGTTTTCTCATCCCCCTCTTTTCGCACTCCTCCTCCTCCTCCTCCTCCTCCTCCTCCTCCTTTTCCTCCTCCTCCTCCTTTGACTCGGCCGCTGGCTGCCCAAGGCCAGATGGGTTGAGTTCCTGTGCAAAGAGAGCAGCGCCAAGATCACCAAGGACAGCCGCAGGGCAAGCGGAGCTCTGACCTGCATGACATGGCAGACGGTGTGCGTGCAGCCACAACTGGCCTTAAGGATGAGCATCTGAAGGACGGCCCCGTGTGCATCCCTCGAAGAAGAAAAACGGCATAAAGTCATAAACAGAAACTTTGAGCGCTCCGCGCGGATTTCTTTGATCTGCGCTGGGGCCCCCTGGCGGCGTTGCGCGCCAGGGAAGGGGGGTCCAGCGCGGATTCAAGAAATCCGCGTGCAGCGCTAAAAGTTTATGTATGTGTGGTTTTCTCTTCTTCGAATCCCTCGATCCTGCTAACTTCGCTCTCTTGTCGGGGGCATCTCAAACGTGGTCAGGACCAGGGATGTGCGGATCTCGTGGGCGGGGGTATCACATCTCACGCACTTCTTGGCCCCCGCCTTCTTCTCTCAACACGTCTCAGTCCTGATTTTCTCATCACGGCGTCCCCGAAGTCCAGACCCTTTCCCTGGGGCTGGCTTTTCATCCCGAGTAGTTCTTTGACGGTCCCGTGGCCCGGCGAGGGCCCCCCGAGTCCGAGATTGGCCAACAATGTTCGTCGGGCCCCCCGAGTCCGAGATTGGCCAAAAGTGTTCGTCCTGATGTTTGCTGCGACGCGATCATGTCTGGGGCCCCGTCCGCCTCCCCGCAGATGCCTCGGGCCCACGACGCGCTAACACCCCCCCCCCCTCGGAGAGGGCTCGCGCACCCCTCGTCTGCCGGGCAGCACCAGGGAGGGGGCTCGCAGCCTCCTCGAGGACGGGGGACCGCACCGCCCACGCCCCCGGATGTTCCAGAAACAAAGCTTGGATGTCCAAAGGGATGCGAAACAAGAAACAAGACAGTGTTCGACACACTGATGGTGATGATGATGATGCTGACGACGATGATGATGATGATGATGATGATGATGATGATGATGATGATGATGATGATGATGATGATGATGATGATGATGATGATGATGGATGATGAGGAGGAGGAGGAGGAGGAGGAGGAGGAGGAGGAGGAGGAGGAGAGGAGGAGGGAGGATGATGATGAGGAGGAGGAGGAGGAGGAGGAGGAGGAGGATGATGATGATGGATGATGATGCTCATGACGATGATGACGATGATGTTGATGATGATGTGGTGGTGGTGACGATGATGACGATGTTGATGATGTTTTCGTCGTGAGCACTAGGCCTGGGCCTTTGGCGTGTCTTTGGGGGGTCTCTGGGACTCTGCCTACCCCAGAAGTGCGCTCGGTGGCCATAGTGTTCGACACAGCACCTTCCTTTCTGGTTCGTCCTATTTTCACTCGACCAGATCTTCCAGAAGCCTCATTCATCCTCAGCAGGGGCGGGCGAGCCCCCTCGTGGTGATCCTGGGCTCATCTTTCGTACGGCTCCCCGAGGCGGCCCGGCCAGCCTTGGCATCGGGCACCCGTACGAGTGACCTTTCGCTGGAGTGACCTTTGGTGCGGGCCACGAGGGTCCCCGATCGCTGCATGCGATGCGAAAGCAGCGGCTTGCGCGCGTATGTTCCCCCTCCCCCTCTCCCCGCCACCTCTCCGTGTGCACAGGCTCTCCCCCACCCATCCTTCTCATCACCTCTCTCCTCCTCTTCTCTCATCCTCTCCCCTCCTACCATCTCCCTCTTCCCTCTTCCTTCCCCCCCCTTTCCCCTTCAATCTCTCCATCATCCTCTCCTCTCAGTGCGTCTCTTCCCCTGTTCCTCCCGCCCTCCCACCTCCCCCATGCGGCCTTGCCCAGAAGCCGCGCACCAGATATCACTCCTGCCTGCACCCCACTGGAAAAGTAATGCAACCACCGCCCGCAGCAGCCACGCCCCCCCATCGCGTCGTGCCGGTGCCTTCTTCTCGGGGACGGCTAAAGAGGGGGGTGGTGACTAGGGGCGGGTGGATATCATGGCGTGAACCATGATGTTTCCTTAGATTTCATGGCGCCTCTTCTTATGTCATTACGTCCCTGGACCCCCCTGGGCCGCGCACATGCCGCTGGCCATGATTTGCGCCCCCCCCCCCTTGTTGGACGCCCCCCTCTTGGCCGCCCCCGATCTTTCCCAGCCGCCCCAGATTGATGGACCTGTTGATGAGTTGATGAGTTTATTCCGCCGCAATTGGAGCAAGTGACAGTTCAACCAACACGGGCCTCGGAAACATTGACGACACGTGCGCGATGCATCTGTCAGTGCATCCCCCTGCCCCCAACTATCAAAGCTGGCGGTGGCTCTGATGAGTTGCTTATCGACTACAGACTTCTCCGCGCGTGCCAACTTTGATCGGAAACTGGAACATCTACACTACCAGTGGCGGGCTATTTTTCAATCCCAGGACTTTTTGAGGGTCGGGGACGACATCGGGGTGATATGGTGTATACTTGTTTTCGCTTCCTGGGGAAACAACTAAAAATGTATACACCAGGATCCCGTGTGCGGCAGGATCCGCCTTCTTGTGCGAGTTCCAGTGCGGGGCCGGATAAAAAAGTAGGTGTATATAGAGTTCTGCTCATTGTTTGAATTTTTGGGGAGGGGGAGTGTCCAAGCATTGCTTCCATAGTGCCGTATCCCTCGCATAGTTGGTAATGTGTGCGGGCCCCACCAATATTCACCACCACCACCTCCTGTCCGCCTCCCTCCTCTACTTTCATCTTCCCTCTTGTCTCCTGGGAGAGGGAGGGGGTGAGGGAGGTGGTGGTGGTGTATACTGCTGGGCCCCGTAATGTGTGTGCCGCCCCCGTGTTGGTGCAAGGACGGTGCCCAGACTGGCAGGGCATCCGTGACGGCCGTCGTCTTCACCAGCGTCGCCCACGCTTTCGCGCGGTGCACCGTCAGGGCCAAGGCTTCGTGGGAAGTGGTGGTACAGGCCTCGGAAAAATAGCGAACACTCATACCACATTCAACTGTCAACGCCTCCCCCTTGCCCCAATGTTCAAAGTTGGCGGTGGGTCTGGTGAGTTGCACCTCGACCGCAGTCTTCCCGCGCGTGCCAGCCTTGAGTTTTGGGGAGAGGGGGAGTGCTCAGTAATTGTTTTCCTCGAGGAAGAGATCGCGGGATCCTGCCAGGTGATAAAGCAGTCTGCCAGTTGACGACATCATTGCATGCATTGGTCGTCGAAGGAGGAACAAAAACGACACAATCATGAATTGTTGGCGCTCCGCGCGGATTTCTCGGATCCGCGCTGGCCACCCCAGGCGGCGCCTCCGGCGCCACCCCTGGAGCGCTCCGCTGGCGCGCTCCGCGCTCCAGGGAGAGGGGTCCAGCGCAGATCCAAGAAATCCGCGCGGAGCGCCAACAATTTATGTTTATGCAGATGTGTTTAGGTGTTGATTCCTGCGAGTGTTCATAATGACACCTTTTTTCGGACTTCCATCACAGCAGTGCCCCAGTGTGAATGCCACTTAAAACAGTGTCGGATACACCTGATGTCCGCGTAATCAATTATTGTTTGGATACCCAGTACTTCTACGAGTTGTCTAATGCTTACATGACCCTTCTTCATACATTCGCCCTTCGTGGCATCCCCATAGCGGTGGACTATTTCACGAGAGGCTCTCGGACAGAATTCTCACAAGTGGTTCGACCGTTTGTGGAATCGCTAAATTGTCAGACGTTTCGTATTTCAACGATGGGTGCAAAGTCATTTCATCTTTTGGAGACCTCAGAGATGCAACCGTGACAAGTTCCCTAAAGCCATTTTCGAGGCAGTGCCACATTGATGCATTTGTCCAGAGTCAAAGAGTTTGGCTTGTGTGTTTCGATTGTCTTGTTTTTAGGACCAGTCCAATCAGGCGCCCTCTTGGTTTGGTTCAGACACCAAGGGCGATACTTTTTCCCGAACACCTGTGTGACAGACAATGAGGGTTCTGGTAATGCCATGGTTTCCATTTGCTCGAGGCGCCAGATGTCTGGGTTCCCCTTCCCTATCCTCCTCCTCCTCCTCCTCCTCCTTTTCCTACTCCTCCGCCTCCTCACACCAGTCCTATTTCTCTTCTGGGAGGAGAGGGATCGAGGACCCAGCCCAGCAGCACCCAGGCAGTCCCGCTGCGGCAGGCTTTTCCCTTCCCCCCCCCCCAGCAACCTCAGCTCCTTAGATTCCATGTGTGGCTGGTGGCATCCTTGGCTCCGGCACGCCGTGAGGCGAGCTGTAAGACGCTGCCCCCCCCGCGCTCCATCCGTCCGTCCTCGCTCCTCGCCCCTCGCTCCCCTGTTCCCTTGCGCTGGCGACGCCCAGAGCTCGGGTCCTCCTCGTCCTCCTCCCCCCGTCCAACTCCTGCAGACATCGGGTGGCCTGCTTCGTTCTCGGTCCGCGTCCAGCGTCTGCCCCTCCCAGGGTCGGCCAGGTGGTGAGCTCCGCTCTGTGCAAACACAGCAGCCCTAGAGCTCCTGACGTAAAATATCGAGAGAAACCCCGGGGCGGCAAAAACAAGCTTCGAAAACGCGCGGTGCGAAACGGATAGGGAGTCGCAGCCAGTGGACAGAGTAAGAGGAAGAGCATCAGCACGAGGAGCAGGAGGAGTGGACGGACGAAGGAGGAGGAGGAACAACAGGAGGGAGGTGAGGCGGACCTCTTGTCCTTACTTGTCATCCTCCTCGTCCTCCCAACACTGCACAACTGGCGTTTCTGGATTCAGAAACGGTTCAACCGTGTTCCATGTAGTCACGCTCTTTCATGCTGTGTTCTAGTATGTTTTAGTTTGTTTTCGATGGGCCGGCGTGACGTCGCGACGCTTGTGACATTAGATGCGTCGTTTGTCGCGATGTTCTTCTTTGAACGTATGCGTTTCTCTTCTGATTGAGTCGTGCCTGTTATGCTCATCTATGCCACCATCTGTTTTGATATGTTATGTTATGATCTGCTCTGTGGTACTATGTTATGACATGATGTGCTATGTCAAGTTATGTTATGTTATGCTCTGTTCTGTGATGCTGTTGACAGCTTGGCTCAGTACAGTATAGTATGACATGGTATGCTAGCATGTTTCGCTATGCGTTGCTATCGTGCTGGAGCCCGTTCGGAAAACCTCCCGGCGATCACTGGCGTGACCGGCCCCGCCCCCCCTCTCACGTCAAGGCGGTCGTCCGGTGGCGACCGCGGACGTCCTGTGGCGCTCGCAGGCTACTGTGATGTTCAGAGGCACGCTGTGGTATTCGCGAGGGGAAGCGGTTTCGTGCGTGCCTCGTGGTGCCCTCAGGGACGCAGCGTTGTTCTGTTTCTGAGAGGCATTGGTGCGTCGGTCGTAGCGCGGCGCTCGTAGCTGCCAGCGCTGTGGTGTACACAGGCACTGGAGCTCCTCCTCCTCCTCCTCCTCTTCGTCCGGCCTTTCTGACTAGAGTTTATTTGTATCTGGTATCGATTCGTTGACTTTGTGGCCTCCAGGCGCCCTGGGCCCTTGGCAGCCGTTGAAATTCCCCAACATAAGGAGTAGCATTGAAATCTTCTTCAAGGAGGTTCCTATTGATAACCCCCACGAGAGGATCCGTGTTGAAGCCTTCCACAAAAAGGAGTTTTTTTACGAAATCCGCCGCAAAACGACTCCGATTGAAATCCTCCACGGAAGGATCCCCATCGAAATCTTCCGGAGGAGGATTCCGATTGAAATCTTCGCAGGAGGAGGAGGGGGAAGAGAAGGAGGAGGAGGAGGAGGACAGGGGGGGGGAGGAGGAGGAGGAGGACGAGGAGGAGGAGGAGGAGGAGGACGAGGAGGACGAGGAGGGGTAGCCTGGAACGCAACGAGGACAGTTTACTTGTAACCGGTATCGATTCGTTGACATTCTGACCTGAGGGCGCCCCTGGGCCCTCCGAGGGCCCGGAACGGAACGGTTGAAGTTTATTTGTATCCGGTATCGATTCGTGGATTTTGTGGCCTCCGGGCGCCCTGGGCCCCTCCTGCAAGCCAACGGAACGAATAGTAGTAGTAGTAGTGGTAGTAGTGGTGGTAGTGGTTGTAGTGGTGGTGGTGGGTGGCAGTAGTAGTAGTAGTAGTAGTAGTAGTAGCAGCAGTAGCAGTAGTAGTAGTAGTAGTAGTAGTAGTCGTCGTAGTAGTAGTAGTAGTAGTAGTAGTAGTAGTAGTAGTAGTAGTAGTAGTCGTAGTAGTAGTAGTAGTAGTAGTAGCAGTAGTAGTAGTAGTAGTAGTAGTAGTCGTAGTAGTAGTAGTAGTAGTAGTAGTAGTAGTAGTAGTAGTAGTCGTAGTAGTAGTAGTAGTAGTAGTAGTAGTAGTAGTAGTAGTAGTAGTAGTAGTAGTAGTAGTAGTAGTAGTAGTAGTAGTAGTAGTAGTAGTAGTGGTAGTGGTATGTTGCGGCACCCCAGGCGCACCCCCGCCGTGACGTGATCGGCGGGGCGTCCCCCCCCATCACGCCCGTGACGGGCTCGAATCAACGAATGGGCTCCTATGATGTGTTTTGTCATCTTGCCATGATCTGACCTGATCCGTTTTGTCACGTTTTGGTATGCTATGCTCGGCTATGTTCTGGTATGCTGTGTTTTGTCGTATTGTGTTATGTCATGTTCTGCTCTGGTATGCTCTGTGATGTTCTGTGTACTGTGATGCTGCGTGATGGTATGACATGTTATGTCAATGTGTGTTGTGCTATGCTCGCCTATGTGTTATCTCGCCTCATGTTATGTCGTGTACTGCTATGATAAACTGTGTAGTGTAATGTGTTGCTATACGTTCTCATGACATTGCTTCGTTATGCTATGCCATGTTCGTGCTATGAAATGCAATGTTATGTTGTGTCCTGTGGTGCTATGTCGTGTTCGTCGTCGCTCTTTTCTGCTACCGTGGCACGATATGCTATGTAATGATGTGCCATGGTATGAGATGTTATGCCAATGTGTGTTATGTCATGCTCGGCTATGTTCTGTTATGGCATATTTCGCTCTGGTATGAGATGTGATATCCGTAAGGGCTTCGCCCCCATGCCGCCTGCCACCCTCTCTTATAATGGAACTTGCCAGAGTTGTGTTGGGATGTCTGGACGCCGACGTGAAGCAACATCGGGATTTCACGCGAGGGCCAGTTTTAATTTACGAGGGTTTATGGCTTCGGTGGCGTGAATATGTACTTTACGATGGTCTATGGATTCGGGGACGCGAGTACGGCGTCATTCGCAAGGGTTTGTGGCCTCGGGGACGCACATAAAGGATACTTTACGAGGGTCTCTGGCCTCGGGGGCGCACATAGTGTATACTTTACACAGGATTCTGGCCTCGGGGACCCGAATATTATGTAATTTGCAAAGGCTCATGGCCTCGAGGACGCAAGCATGGTGTAATGTACAAAGGTTTATGGCCGCAGAGACGCGAATGTTGCACAAGTTTTAAAGGTTTTATTTCCGGGGGCGCGAATCTCCCGTATTGTGCGAGGGTTTATGGCTTTGGGGGGGCGCGAAGATTGGGTGATTTACAAAGATTTATGGCTTCGGGGACGCGGATATTGCGTAATTTGCGATGGAGTATGGCTTCGGGGACGCGAGTACGGGTGTGATTTCGTAAGGTTTATGGCCTCGGGGACGCGAACATGGCGTAATGTATGAAGGATTCTGGCCTCGGGGACGCGAGTCTCATGTGTTTTTACGTGTCCCACGACCCCCCGGGGAATTCAGACAACGCGATTCGGAGACGCTAGCCAAGGCGCTGCTCGGCTCCCCCCGTCGCGCGTTCAGCAACCATTAGCAGTAAGGAAGTAGAAAAGCAGGACTCTAACAGTGGAAACTGCAAAATGCAACTGTCACGGGGAGCTGCAAGCCTAATCTTCGCAGCTTGATGGCCCCGCAAGGGGGCCTGCGGATTTTGTTTGTTGTCGGCTCGGCTCTATATAGTGTATTATGATTTGTTTTGCTAGCATATGTCGCTATGCTGCACTGTCGTGTTATGATATGTTATGTGATGCTGCGGCACGGAATCATATGCTATGCCAAGGTGTGTTATGTTATCATCGGTTATGTGTTGTCATGTTGTGCTCTGTTGTCTCCTGCTCTGTCCTCGTTGGCGATGCGGCGCGATCCTTCGACCCCATCTCCTCGGACCCCATCCAGGAGGCCTCCAAACGTGCCCCCAGGATTTCCAAAAATACCCCCACGGCCTCCAGAGCCCCCCATCACGACTCCCAGAGGGCCCCAGGGGGTCCAGAGAATTGAGCGCAAGGCTGGGGGCACCTGGGGCCAAGGGCACCTCCTCAACGCCGGTTCGTGAAAGTAGGTAGTTCTGGATTTCCAGATCCCAATCTACTTCAAGCGCCTTCCTGCTTCAAGAATTGCCCTCCTTTTCAACGTGTGTTGCCATCCTACTTCAAGGATCGATCTATGTGTGATCCGCCCTCCTGCTTCATATTTTGACCTACCTCTCCCAACCGACGTGCAGCCACCCCCGACAATTTGTTGATTCTTCTGTGGCTCCGAGGGGGTCTGGGCATCCTTCGCGAGAGTCGGCCACGCGCAGAGGCGGGTTGGGGGAGGGAGGAAGGCTTCTTAGAAGCACCTCGGATTCTTAGAAGGCGCGGGCCTTCTCTATGCATGTAAGGCCGGCGCCTTCTAACAAGCAGCCCCCTTGTAAGAAGCCCTCCCCCCTCCCCCTACCCCCCCTCTGCGCGCCGCCAAGAGAGGCTCGAGGGCCGCGCGGCGCGCAGCGGCCTCCGTCCGCGGGGGGGGGGGGGGGGGGGGCAGGTCTACAGGACCGCCTGCCGCACCCGCGGGGGCGCCCGGGCCTTGGTCCTCGAGATCTCGAGGCGCAGCGGCGACGCGGCGGGCCCCCTCTTCGGCCCGGGGGGTGGAGCAAGGAGGAGGAGCAAGGAGGAGGAGGAGGAGGGGGAGTAGGAGGAGGAGGAGGAAAAGGAGGAGTAGGACGGGGAGGAGGAGGAGGAGGGGGAGGAGGGGAGGAGGACAAGGAGAAGGAGGCGGAGGAGGAGGAGGGAGGAGGAGGAGGGAGGAGGAGGATGGGGGGGAGAAAGAGGGAGGAGGAGGTGGAGGAGGAGGAGGAGGAGGGGGTCAGGAGGAGGAGGGGAGAGGAGAGGAGGAGGAGGAGGCGGAGGTGAGGAGGAGGAGGAGGAGGAGGAGGAGGAGGAGGAGGAGGAGGAGGAGGAGGAGGACGAGGAGAAAGGGGGGAGGAGGAGGAGGAGGAGGAGGAGGAGGAGGAGGAACAGGAATGATAAGAATCATCACTATGAGACAAAGAAGAGTACAACTATTCATAATATTAATAATCAGAATACTAGTATGAAGAATAGTACTGTTAAACATACGAAGATGAATACTAGGAATACTGTTATTAACGGATAATAATAATACGAAGAATTTGAAGATGAGGAGGAAGTGGAGGAGGAGGAGGAGAAGAAGGAGGAGGAGGAGTAGGAGGAGGATTTTTTTGACATCCACGATCAAAGACCCCAGTGACAGGGCAAAAAGAGAGGTCGGCAAGAGCGAAAACCGCTCATGCCAGACACAAGTAAGGCCAGTGACTCGATTAGTCAGAGCCAGACTCTTCACCCTTCTCCACCGCGGGGGATGACGTTGCCTGGCTCATGGCGAGCGAGCGGGCTCCAGAACGCAGAGTCCCTCTCTCAATCGAGGGGGCGGTGGGCTCGGCTCCCGCCCTACAGGCGGAGGAGCTCGCGGCCTCAGCGTTGAGAAACAGAGAGGCCTCCTCTTCTGCATCAAAATCGAGGCCGTCCGCGAAAAGCGGAGGCGGGACGATAGAATCCAGTCTCCCTCCCGACCCAAGCCGCTCCCCCCCCCACTCCCCCCCCTTCGGAATGGCGAGGCAGAGCAGAGGCAGCTGGACCAGCCTCAGCAGACACGCCGACGACCGCATTGGCCGTTGTCGACGACGACCCACCGATCGGCAAGATCGTCTCGAGGTCGGCGTGGACTCCCTTCTTCTTGTGATCAGGGTGCAGTCCACGGCCCAATCTTGACCAAACTTCGCTGCGCTTCGGAGGGTGTTCAAGGCATTGCTTGGCGAGTCCTCGAAGTTGCACGCCCAAGGTAAAACAATGGCAGGTCTGGCAGACGCACGCGAAGCTGCCGCCCGAGAAATCTATCACAACACAGCGATGTCCCAACTGGCGGAGCGACGAAGGATCCACCTTCAACAATCTACTGCAACCGCCAGCGGAGGGCTTCGAGTTGCTGCGAGAGACTCTGGGGCAGTGGGTGCACTGCCAGCAGCTTCCCACCCAAACCCACTCATGGGCGGGCCCCATTGGCCTCGGAGGCCGAGCAGCAGCAGGTGTGCGCTCGACTCCTGGCAGGTCGGTGCGAGGCCACGAACGCAAAACTTTAGCAGCTAGTTTGGTGACAGCCCGCGATACTTTGATCAAAAAAGAGTAGCCGTCACGAACCCCGTCACTGAAATCAGGGTGCAGGTGCGCTCCAGCCTTGGCCGCCTCGACAGCGGCGTTGTTGCCAATGCTGTGGGCGCGCTCGGGTGCTGGCAGGTCTGCATTGTCCTCCTGGTGACCTGGTGCGCCTTCACCTTCGTGACGGCGCGCACCAAACGGCCAGCGACAAAAATCACACTGCATGACTAGGCCACTGTATGGGCGACGCAAAGACAACCTCTCATCACGGCTCTTGCCGTGCCGGTTCACAACACCTTGGCAATCACTTAAAAACTTGGCTGGGCCGCTGAGCACGCTGGCCGCTGACGTAGGGGCTGCAAATTCATCCGCGACGCTCGCCTGGGGGAAATAACTGCCAAGGGCCCCATACATGCGAGCAAGGACCTGTCCCGTTACACCGACCATGGCCGCGCCCCAACCAGATCTGGGCAAGTCCTTGATCACATGTCGCGCGCACGAGCCATCCACGTATATAGCCCCACTCAAAGCTCTCTCCCCCGCGGGCGGAACTTCTAAGCCTTCGGCCTCGCAGGCCTCGGGGTAGGTCTGGACGACCACGGTTTCCAAAGCCTCCTCGAGGCTCATGGGCCCAGGAAGGTCCACGGCAGGGTGAGAAAGTAAACCAGCTTCGCAGACAAAATTCAAACCAGGCGTGGTGTCCTTCTCGAGCCTCGTGAGGATGGTAAGGGGCCTGGAGCCTGCAGAGGGCCTCATAGTCGCGGCAGCCATTCTGCGGATCTTTAGCACCTCGCCGTCCGACATGCCGTGCACCTCGGCCCCGTACTGGGCCCCCGCCAAGGGGCCAGCAATATACCTAGAACACCGCAGACGAGGAGTCTTGTCCACCGCGTGCCAGAGCTTCCCGAAACGATCTTGCTCCTGCTTAAGAAGGGGCCTGAGGGTCGCTAACCAGGCCCCCGAAGCGGCTGAGGGTCGAGGTCGGCCTCCAGGCGGCCGGGTCCCGAGAGACCTGGAGGCCCCTGCGGGCCCCTTGATTGCTCCCGTCCAGGAGCCAGCAGGACCAGTCCGATCGAGCCTGCTTCGTGAACGTAACAGTGCACACCTCGAGAGAAACCTTAAAGAAGGCGTGGGCGTCGTCGGCCAAGACGCGGGCGAAGTCAGGGTCTCCGCCCCGAGCCGCCGCCGCTGACGCCGCCAGCTTGAAAGCGTCCGCGCATTCGCCTTGGTTGTCCATCACAGCCTGAGGAGGGCGGCTGATGGCTCGGCAGGCCGCCTCAAACGAGTAGCTGCGTTGACCTGAGTCCAAGGGCGAGAAACCATCTTGGCGGTCGGCGTCTCTGGCCAGCAGGACGCGATAAAAAATTGAAACTGGGCCCAGAGCCATCTCATACTGTGAAGCTCGGGGTAGCGGACCGCCCCATGGTCCCGCCCCAGGACGGGGCGCCACCGCAAGACCACCCCCTTCCCTCGCGCCCCATAGTACGGGAGGGAACAGCCCATCACGTTACAGAATTCAAGTTCCGCGGTGTTAGCCCACTGCTTGTAGGCTGATCCCAAGAGTGGGTCCAAGACGTCACCTTCCCCCCTTTGGGCCCTAACCAGGGCCTTTTCCAAAAGCGCCGAGACCTTGCAATAGCTCAGAGGCTCGGGGGACGGACCGATCGGGGCATCCACAACGATGGGGGGGGGGGGGGGGGCTTACGAAACGACAGGGCATGGAGATCAGCGGGCCCAGCATGGAACTGGATCCTCACAGGGACGTGGGGGGTGAAAGATCCTGTGGGGTCGATAGCAACTGAGCGTACAGCCTGAGCGAGGCCTCCAGAGAGGACAAAGACATCGTACTTCTTGGGCTCGCCTGAGCCGAAGCACGTCGGGCCCCCCGCCGCCGCCAGCTGGCCCCTCAAGTTGTGAACGAACTCACACTCGTGAAGGGCGGACGTTGCCGCACTTGGAAAGCCGCGCGCCGACGGCGCTGAGGATGTCGATGTTGGCTTCACTCAACCCCTCCGAGTCACGGAGGTAGAGAGAGGCGAGGAGAGAAGACTGACCCCCAGGGGAGGGGCGCACAATAGCGACGACTGCGCGGCGGGGCTAGATTTCCTGAGCACCCTCGGGGCGCAGACCGAGCCTGGAGTCCGTAGCCATTTTGGCTCAAGCCATTTTGGCTCAAGTAAACCATTTCCTCGAGGTGGTGTAGTGACCAGTTCCTGACGGCCCCGCAGGTGGCCGCGCCCTGGCCAGGGGGGCGTCTGTCTTTCTCTTTTCCCTAGTGCTGCAGCCGCAGCCGCATTCGTTCGATCACCATTCACGCTCCAACACACCTTCAGTAGCCATGGTCAGCGGCAGGCCGAGGCAATGAGTGCGCTGCAAGACTTGCCCTCGCAGCTGGGTTTTCTCGACGCTGGCATTCGTCAGTGCAAGTATTGCGGGGCCAGCTTTCAGCCGCCAAACGGTTGGCCTCCGAAGAAGGGCAAGGGGAATGATCACGGAGGAACTGGAGTTGCGTCGTCACCCCAACATGCAGCTGGAACGAAGCAGACTGATTTGTTCAAGCATTGCCACAGTCGGTATGGAGGCGCCACCCATCCAGCCAAACTACCGCTCCAGCCTGAAAAAGATGGGGATGATGACCAACAGCATGCGGCCACAACCGTGGCAGCAGACAGTATTCACAGCCAGATTGAGTCTTTTGAGAAGTACATCGCCTATGCCAGCTCAGTTACTGACGAACTCGCCCCTGGTCACGAGCAGAGCCTTATAGCATCCAGACAGAAACTTGCGCAGCTTAAGGAGCAGGCCGCTGTGCACCTGCCCCACCACAACCAAGTGCATCGCGCGACGGTTCGAGTCAAGAGAGCACGCGACAAAGTTGACAAGCTGCGAAAGCAACTGGATGTGAATACTGAGTACATTGGGCAGATGGAATCACTACTGGCGTGCCGAAATGGCCCGGGGCCGCCATGCGAACCCTGCCACTGGGGCCTTCGGTGGAGCTCCATATGGGGCAACGGTCCTCGTGAGGGGTGTGCCGAAATGGCCCGAGGCCGCCATGCTAACCCTGCCGCTGGGGCCTTCGGTGGCACGGTTGCAGCAGAGGCTCGATGTGGCCGAGAAGCAGCTCAAGACGGAGGGGGATCAGCAATCACAGACATGGGCGACTAAAGCCCGTGCGCACTTGGGTGACCTCAACTCTTTCAAGCTATCGCTGGGGTCGTTGGCCGCCAAGGCCCCTCAGGACGCCGAGATCGCTCCATTGCTCACCGCAGCGCAGCAGCTGGCTCAAACGTTCGGGGAGGCGGCCAACCGCGAGATGCGAGTGGGCGACAGCGAGCAGGGCCCCAGCCTCGAGAAGCAGCAGCTCAAGGTGCTGGGGCCGCTTCTTCCAGGAGAGCAACGTGCAGCCTGGGAGGCCAAGAAGAAGGAGCTCGCAAAGGCGGCGGT